TAGAAGCTAAGTGATTAAGAATTATACCTACCACAAATCAGAGGAAGCTATAACATAAATAAGTTGGGTAAAGGAAAAGCTTACAAGAAAGAGAGCATTGGCTTGAGTGAAAAAGCCAGACAATGGAAAAAGTATGAAACTATTAGAGATAACTGGTAATGAAGAAATTAGACACATAAAAGGTCAAATCAGGACTTTTACCATTAGAGTCCCAAGTACTCTAGGGCACACCTTTGTAATTGTTGGAGAATTTCTCCAAGAAGGATGAACAAAATGCCTGTTTATAGTCTCGAAAGTTTCCAGCGGGACTAAGACCTACAAAATGAGAAGAAGAAACTGAGAACAGAAGAGATGCTACGAATAAAGGATTAATTTTGTAGATGCTACTCAAACCATTTAACTAATTGAGTGGGAAGAGAGAGAGAGAGGAGGTATCAATGGAGGAAAGAGAGTCCGGCATGACAGGGGAGGAAACAGAAGTTGGTCGGTGGGCAGAAGAAAGGCTAACAATAATTAGGAGGCTGATCATCGAAAGCAAAGATGACAAAACAACAAAATGAGAAGAAGAAAATAAGGAGGGAAATCAACAACAAGAGAACAACTGATTGAAGGGTAAAAAAAAAAACCCTTAATCGACAATTAGGAATGTAAAAGAACTAATATCAATACAATGTTGTTTTGAATAACAAAGGCCAAAAAAAAGAAGGATTCTAATTCAATTAGAGACTCAATTGAAAGAAATTGAACAGTAATCAAATCATCCTACTTTTATATATAGTATATATATATACACACATTATTCAATTAGGAGACCTTTGTAAAATATGATTCTAATATTATTTATTTTTTTTTGAAATTAATATCTCTTTAGACCTCATCTCTAACTTTTCTTAGTGCATTAAGAAGTTTTGGTGTAGTGTTCTCATATTGTAAGAAAAAATTATGTAATGTGGTTGTTGCCTTGACTGCATCTTTACGCGAGATTGGCACTAATACAGAACTATTGTCTTCAACTTCATTTTCTTTATCATTTCTAGTGACATTTTCAATAATTAACTTGTCATGAACAATGATAATTCGTAATTAGGTAATTAGGTAATATTAGTATATTCATAATACACAATACACAATACATGTATTAAGATCAATGTTTTGGAAAAAAAGTTAAAGAATACCTTGATAAGTTAATTGTTTATTAGTTAATGTATAAATTAATTTTTGGTTGATAACTCTATTATATAGAGTTATTTTGACACCTTTTGAGGGTTTAAGTAGTTAGATCTTTGAGATTTTAGGTTTGGATTGTAGCATTTTAAGTGTTTTTCTAATTTCAGTTTGATTACATTTTGAGTATTTAATTTAAGTTATTTTAGTTAAATTTTATGTTATTTTGTTTTAAATTACTTTAAGAGTAGTTATTGCTAATTCTCTTATTGCTTTTGTAGAAAATTTGATGAAAAAGACTCATTTGATGAAAATTAGTGCAAGTATAGTGATGACTTCATTCGTATATGTGTTGGTATTTTGACCATATCTCTCTCTAAAAGCTCTAAATGAGGTTATTCTTACACCACTAGAATTATAAGAAGAAGGGCTACAATGTTTATGTTTACTAATTCACCCAGTTCTAATCGGATAATAGTCAAAATATTTGTCTAATTTAGAGCACTGTAGCAATATGCATGGATTGAACATAATACAGTATTTAAAGCGTATCTTTCAATCCAGTAGTCTAATTGACATGATTCTTAAGCCATTGGAAATCTAAGAGATAGGACTACAACTTTTATGTTTACCACTTTTCTTAGTTTAGATCACATCATGGTGAAAATCATGTTTAAATTTGATAGACTGCTGTAGCACTTGGAGAACAAGGCTGCAATGCTGGTGAAAGGAAGCTCATCATACAATTTCCCAGAGAGCTCAGCACCATAGTGTTGGAGAAGTAGTGCTGCAGAGATACTATAGTAAAAAAACTAGTGCTGTGGTGCCAAGAAATCAACGCTGCAGCCTTAGGTGATTTTTCAAAAATAAAAATTTGATGAGATTTTGAAAATTAAGTTACTTGGAGCCTATTTAAGGGACCTTTTTAGAGGTTTTAAGAGAAAGGCAACAAGCAACTATTCTGGAGATTTGGAGCCAAGAACAAGTAAGAAAATAAGAGAATTGGAGGGAGAATCAAGATCACAACACTTGAGCATTTGGCTCATTAGTTGGTGCACGATCCCCTTGCCTAAAGAGCAGGATTCGAATCCCTCTTCTCCTAATTATAAAAAAAAAGCTCTAACTATTAGTTTTCTCTTTTTAAATTTTGTGTTTTTCTTATTTTCTTTGACTTGGATTAATGGTTAATTTTCTTTGGATGAAGTTTTTACTAGATATTATGAGTTAAACTTATTTTTCTAGGATTACAATTAAACTCACATGTAATCTAAACTTTTAATCTCTTTTTTGCTTATCTTTAATGGAATTTGAATTGTTTATTTCAATTTGTTCTTAATGCTTTTATTTCTATGATCACCAATTAAATTGATTTAGGAACCTAAACAAACTTGGGAAAGGGAGTTTGGTGTAGACTAAAATTGAGATAGCATATGATCATATTAATTGATTTATGTATAGGATAGGGATACACTTATAGGCCTTATGTAGCCAGATTAGAGCCTAAACTTAATGAGTCCATTTTAATTTCAATTTACATAGGGATATAGTATTTTGGTTAAAATAAATATTTTTATAAAATGAGTCGAGAGACCTTTATAAATAATTGAAGACTTTAGGTTAGCAATTCAACCCATTGAAATAAGTTAAAGAAGAGAGTTAAGATTTAGATGAAGTGTGAGAGACATTATAATCTTAGGCTTGTTTGATTTGATTTATACCTAGTTATCTTGTTGCTTTGATTTTTCTTTTTAGAAAAAATTTTGCTTAATTAGTTTTAGTTAATTAATTTAGTTATTTGAATTTGATTGTTTGAATAAGATTAAATTGTTCAAATTTTAGTACTTAGTAAAATTTAAATCAATTCTTTGCGGGATCGATACTCTGCTTGCTTATATACTATCTATTTAATACATATGTTTGTGTAGTAGAATTTTAACTAACATTGATCCCAATGGAGTACTAGAAGGATGGTAAATAGCACTATTGAAAATTTTGAAGGAAACTCTTAAGGTTAAGAATGTTTTGAAGGATTTTGAAATAAAGAGTTTAAAACTCATTAAGGCTAAAAGTCACCAAGTAAAGAGAAGGTAAACAGAAGTGACCAAAACACAAGTATTTGTAGTGGTTCAGTCTTCTTAATCTACATCCATTATCTTGATTTCCCAATTAAAGATTTTCAACCCAACTAGGGCCGGTTTTAAGGTAAAACCACCAAAGGAAAGGCTTTAAGCCCCAAATTTTCTTATGCCCTATAATTTTTTTTGATAGTTATGCAATTTTATTACTAAATGCCAAAGTTAAATGGCTTTGGTCATTGATTACATAAATAAAAAGAAGATAAAAGTCAAATAACCCTTAAAAGAAAGAAATAAGCCCTAGACTTTGGGATATCCAAAACAAAGCTACAACTGATCAACAAAGAGTCCATATATAGTATGACTCCTAGAAGCTGTCCCAATACGGCACAGATGAACATCAAACCACCAGCAATGCTAAAAACTTGTTTGAACCTTGTCCACACATGCCCAACAATTCAATAAAGATGTCCAAATCCAAATGAGAAATGTGTCCAAAAATAGCACCAATTGACTGCAATGTACGCTATCATGCCTTTCAAATTAAATTAAAATACAAGACTACTTGTAACACTCCGTATTTGCGAATAGAAGTCAATAAGACCTAATCGATAAAACGAAGGTTCAATTGACAAAAATTTAAGTGCCAAGGAGCGATAGTGGGCAAAAAAAATATTTTGAAATAAAATAATTTTTTTAATATTTTAATAAAAAATAATATTAAAATATTAATATTTGAATTATTGTTGAGATTAGTCATGGAAAAGGATTATATGATTAATCTAAGTGGGGGAGAAGAAGTAAGAAAGAAATTCGAAAGAAAAATGAC